TTTTTTTTTTTTTTTTTTTTTTACTAGCGAATTGAAAATGTGAATTGATTGCAAAACGTATCTTAGAAAATTTCCAATCTATGTTGCAACAAAAGTTGCTTAATTCTTACATTCCGTTCCTAATCATCGATCAATTGTTAAAAGACGAACTCAGATCGAAACGAAAAAAAGGCGCGAAAATTTAAAATTAACGAACGGAATTTAAGAAGTATAAAAAGAAAAGAAAAGTTCCAATCTCTCCACAATTTCAAAAAATCTTTCTCGACGAATAATATCGAACTGGAATTCGTGCGTTGCAGCCAATTCCCATTTTGGCGGGAAAATTTAAAATTTACGAACAGAGGGGGAAAAAGCGGAGCTCTTCTGGAAATCTAAAAAAGTAAAAAATACCGAGATCTTTCTCGGCAAAATATCGAGTCTCGAGGAAGGCAATTAGTGACTTGAACGGCCGCAAAGGACGCGAACCGTGAGCAACGCGTTTCCATCCATCCGGCGACATTTGTCATCTCGTCACTCCTCCACATTCGCAACTAGATCTCGTTTCCTATCTTTTTTTTTTCTTTTCCAGAACTCAACTAAACTGCAACTAATTGTTGATACAGCGCTTGATTTACCGCCACAATCTTGGTGCGCGCAATCTTATCGGATAGCTGATAACATCGGTGTACGTGCGAGCGAGCTGTGAACGCTTATTGGAACGGAACTAGGTTGAGCTAGGTTTTAAAAAAGTGATTTCTCACGAGAAACTCGAAATTATTCGCGCCCGACTCTTGCTTAAATCTCTATTGTTATTATTATTACTCCCGATTCACAGTGGAAGAAAATAAATAACGAAATAAAGAGGAAGAGAATTCGAAGAGAGGGAGAAAACTCGATTTATTCGGCAAGGCGCCAAGTGTCAATAAACGCGACGAATTCGTGGTCTGCGATCCGTCAACGCCTCCGATTATTCGAGGAGGCGCCTCCAAAAGCTTTTTTATTATCGGCAGGCCCACGACCTTAGAAAAGATTCTCAAGGTCGTGGGAC